TAATTTGATGGACACATTTATCCTAGTATATATTATGAATTTTGTATTTTAGGAATCAACATGTGATGTTTGCGTACATACAGTTTATTATTTGTTATCTAGGTTACCTATTATGTGTATGTTCAGAAAAAGTCAAAACAAGTACAATAGTTCTAAATTGAAAAATTATAAAAATCTCGTGATGTTTGAAAACAATCCGTTATAGTCTTAAAGTAATTGTAGCAATGCTGATAAATACAGATTAAGATAACCTCAAGGCGGCCTGCTTGAATATCTGGGCTACTTGTTCCTGTCATCTGGATATTTCAACAAGTTATCTGTTTTCTCGCTTGTCTTAACACATCATTATGCCCATTGTTTGCAAAACCTATTCAGGTGCGTTTGTGAAAAGTTTACGGCATTTCAGAGACGTCGTGGTCGCTGGTAATATACATCGAAAACAATATACATTAATCAGATGTCGATTCCTAAACAGCTAACATCTAACTGGCGACCACCCAATATTTATCGCGAGGGTCAATCAAGAAATAAGAAGTGGGAACTTGTTGAAATACTTTGTGTTGAGAATTCTATATTGTACCAAAAATATAATATTGAATAAAGCTAATAATAATAAAATAAATGTGGAAATAAGATTATTCTGATTCCATAGCTGTAGTATGAAGTGGCAATACAAATTGTTTTTATCTGATTTCAGAATTCTCACTTGTATTAGTAGTACTATGTATGTATGTAGTATTTAATCGGATACAAGAACATATGTAAAACAATAAACTTATGTAGCAAATTATTTCAGCAGAATCTGGTGTTTCATTTCTTTCCTAGATTATTCATCACAGAATATAGTCAAACTATGTTTCAACTGCGTATCCTAATTGATTAAATAATGAGACTTATTGACTAAAAACAAATACATACTGCAAGAAACCACATCATCGTGCATCACATAGATTTCAAAGTTTCTAGATGAAGGATCTCAAAGGGATTGAAGTACTTATAAAAGAATAATTTGTATTTCATCTCATCTCACAATCACTTGCATTTAGTCTGGATGAAGCACTAAAGTGATATACTTTATTGGTGATTACTTGATTGTTTCTCATCTTCATGTGTTCTTTATGGAAACACTATTACACTACCTATCTTAACAGCTCACCGTAACAAGTTTTGTCTTATTTCGTTCATTTTTTCAGTAACATAAAAGTTTTAATAAACACTATAAGATTCTATACACAAAATTCGACTGTATATCAAACTTGTGTGGACTGGATTAGTAGGAAACAACAAGTTTATAAATAAATAGCTTCAGGCATGAGAGTGACTCCTTGATATTAAACACTCCTTGTTCTGGTGGCAGAACAGCTTTTTCCAATAAACAATCGGAATTTTATGGAACAGTGCATCTCTTCAAGCGGAAGGATAAATAAATATGTCCAACCATACACACACTTCATGGATTATCAACGATGACCTTGTTATCAGGTTTTATGTTCATTATGATTAAATAACTGTTTTTCCTAATGGTAGATGAAATAACCTAATGGGCGTATTAATAAAATGTCAAGTGGCTGCAATCCATTTTCAATCCCTATTATATAATCAAGAGTTTTATCAGACTAAGCTATTAAATTCACAGATCAAACATTCTCCTAATGTACGAACAATATGAATGCGGTGAAATGAGAAACATAATTTTCTATCAGCATAAGGAACTAGATGTTTTACTACAAATAACATAAACTTGATACTCTATAAAAGTAGTAAAAAAGATTGTACAGTTATTAAATTCAAGAATGAAATGAGTTTGATGAATAAAACAGAGATTAAAACTACTTTCCAATCAGAACTCAATATACTATAAATATAATATAGATTAAAGGCAGGAAACATAATTAGATATTAAATCATCTTTGTAAACTTTTAAATGAATGAAATCAAAACTTTCTAACAAATATAACAAAATTTAGGCAAATTGGTTTACCGAAAACCTGTACATAGATTCGACTTTTAGTCAGTAATACTGTGGTGTGTGCTACTTATATTGACATAATTAGTAGATGATGTTAGTCGTGAACAGAAAGTCTGGCAGCAGAGAGACAAGAGGATCGAACAGTAAAGAATGGAAACAGGATGCAATTTGTATGAAAATGCAAGAACAATGAAGTCTGAGTCATTTTGAGACAATTGGTGGACATTTTACAAATTACGTATTTACTTTATGATTGTTAGATTTTATTGACAAGTCCTGTAATTTTGTGTCAAATTCATTCGATTGGTCAGATAAATTTAGGTGAACTGGGTTTTGAACCTATGACCAAAATAGGTTAACCATTAACACAACGTTGCAATTTTAAACAGCATATGATTACTATTATTATTATTATTATTATTATTATTATTATTATTATTATTAATGATAATAGAAAATCCCCAATAAGTAAATTTATTGCGACTTAAATCATGTGTTCTGAATGTTTAGCAATTTAACAAAAAATATATGACCTAAATTGAAAAATAATGGCTAGAAAATTTCAAAATTAATGTCAAATTAAGTAGATTTTCTTAGAACTCGTCATAAGGGAGACTAGAAGAAAAACATTTATCACTTCATTCTGAAGATCATAATCACACAAGAAGAAAATAGATTATCAAATAACTAACAGCAATTAAAATGTGAAGGTCTAAATTTATATTCAATTTCTTTTAGGTCAGAGAATCGAATACTGAACAATATTTGACATACACTATATATATATATATACCAATAAAAAGTTCATCAATTTACCATGAGAATCATTGAGATTAAATGCCATAATACAAATAATAAAATCAAATCATGAGAAAGGTGAATAACAAAATAAATCATTGACCTTGATAATAGGAAAGGATTAAAAGAAATAAAACCTAATACATAAAAATTGGTTGATGAACAGATAAATCAAAATTAATAACAAATTTTAAGGGAATTCAAATGATGAAGAAAAATGTCTTAGACAAATGTCTGGAAAATGTTATGAACACCCTAGGCATGTTGGAAATCGTAAGCGATTCATAACCAGTTAAAAAATTAATCTTTCAAGTAAACTAATGCATACAAAATAATACTTATTCATAAATGTGTTTTTTAGTTTATAAACTAATGACTGTTTGATTGACAAAATACATTGATTCATTTACATATAGACGTTTTACAACCTACAGACTTGGGGAAATGAGGGAATATTTTTTTCACACTGGTGCAGTAGATTACTAAACGCTTTTTTTACAGTGTATTGAACACCATTCGTTTGTTTATGAAAATAATTCTGAATTTTATTGTTTCACTCAATAACTTCTAAATTCCACCATATAAATAACAGAAAATCTGAAAAATTAAATTATCGTTGATTGTATATAAGAACACGGGATTTTGCTACCATATTTAGTTCACTCATTGTTAGAAAAACTGGGAAGAAAAGGTTGTCTATCATTCTTAATTTAAACATATTCTCAAAACCATATAGGAATGCGGTCTCTTTGAAGTTTCTTGGTTAACTAATTGTTACAAACATGTTTTCAGATAAAGACTGTAAAGACTGCGGAACATCAATTTACTATTTTTCGAATGGGTTGAGACTTCTTAGAAATGTAAACTAACTAAAACCGATAAGAATAATGAATGGTAATTCTTGGGATCTATTTATGGACCAATGCTATGAGTATATTTTTATCGTATAATTGTTATGTAACTAAACTGTTCATATTCATGTCGCTCTTATTATAAGCTTTAATTTGACCCATGGACTATTACTATACGATTTAACATTCTTGAATTATGGCCTGTCTACTAATTACTACCTTCCTCATTCACAAGCACTTTTGATCAAATATTGTACATATGTTATTTTCTATTTTATGGTAACTTTATGGGCGGTTTGATTGATATATGAACCCCGTATGTTTGAAATAAACGATTCATATTGCAGAGGTTGAGATTGGTGTTCTGGACTTAACTGGCTGGGCTAGGCAGGAAGCAGGACCAATCAGGACTCTAGGCTGCTTGCACGTGTTTATGCATCACTGGTTCGACCGATAATTCACTGTCGTCTGATTGGCGGTATTGTTGCGTTATACAATGAACAGGGCACGCAGGTTCACAAGTTATAACACTTTAAAGCCAGGATATGTAGGTGTTTTATTGAAGCACAGTATAGAAATACAGTGTTTAGTATTTGATAAGATCAGCCAATTTGTAATTGTCATGCATGGGCAACTGCTTTAATTCCTACTTGATTAACATAGCAGATCAGGACGCACTACCGTATCAAATTACTTCTTTTCCAAAAGCAGATTCACGCAATTGGTTTCAAACCTAAGGACAAGTGTATTACATTGTCTAAGAAATAGATTGTGTTCTCGCTCATATAGATGAGAGGTTAGCGAGTAGCACATAGTGCATCAGTATCAGATTTTAAACAACGCTCGTCAAAAAAATGAGATTATTTCAATTTATGATAAAAAGTATTATGTTTTAAAATATTAAGTCATATTATAAATTACTAACAAAAATCACTAAAAGTCAAAGAATATAGGAAAGTTGATTATTCATAACAAAACATCAAATTCCTAACATTGACCATTCCATGTTATCGATTACGGGTCTTGAGTATAAACATTCACTTCTATGAAACATTAGGAAGGATAAAATGAATGATCACTATCTATAGAAAAATCAAGAAAATATAAAATATGCAATAGATTCGAATTACACAGTCATCCAGTTATCCTAATTCGTACTTCAAAGGGTTTTTGTATCCTAAATATCACCTAATCTGTCTAAAACAAATAGACGAACAATTTTGTCTAAAGTTAATAAAATGAAAACATGGTCATAAAATGGAATAATCGTGTCTTGAATAATTTAGTTAGCATAACAAAACTTTAAATTGCTTATTATTACTTTTAATTGATACGTTTATTCTTTTCAATAGTAGCAACAATAGCGGAAATGAGATATGGATTTATGATAAGTCGGAAAATTTCAAAAGTTCATAGTTATGTACCATTAAATAGTCTTTAAATTCATCACTTGTAAGAAAAAACATTTCATGTTCTCGATCACTTGACTGTGAAAATAAATCAGGACCATCAGGATCTCCACAGCCTTCAAGATTATTAGATTCATTGGTATGTTTTATTGTTCTATAACCAGGATGAACCATAAATTCAACATTCTTACAATCTTCAAAAGATGATAAAGACTGATCCAATGATTCCATTGTTTGGTTTTTTCCCATCAGCGCCATTCCAATAAATTTTTGAGTATATCTAAAATGTGATGACAATGATGCTTACTTTAGTTAAACATAAAATGAACACTGAATGAAGTGAATATTATTGAACGAATATACATACTTACGTTGCCTCTAATAACTGATCAATCATGCAGCATATCCAATTATTTCAAAATTTGCACTTCATATATATGTGAAATCAATAATAGCAACAAATATCTGACCAGTAATTTGACTGTCAACAATAGTCTTAATTTCAAACAATAATCATATAGACTGACATTTGTACTTTAGATAGATAAAACCCGACTGGTGATCTGTTGGTTAATCGTTTGCGTATGATGAAAATCTAGATTACTGAAACTTAGATTACAATTCATGAGTGAATAATGATACACATATAGATATATAAATGTGTTATCGTGAATACTTTTACTTTTCGCCAGCAAAACAGGACGATTTAATAGCAAAACACATCACTTTCTTGACAGAAATATATAACCGAGTCAACCAACAGACCAATACAGCACTTATTCCCAAAAAAAAGTAGAATCGGCACAGTTTGGTGCAAAAACAGCATTTTGGGTAAGGCTAACTGAAGATTCAGTTCGCACAAAATGTTTCAACATATATAAGCACTAGACACAAGTTAGAAAACATAATCGTTTATGAGATAACAGACATTCATTTACAAGTTAATCTTTATACTATGAATGGGAATTTATGGATTTATGCAGTTTGAAAAACGAAATTCTCTACCTAGAATGCACATAGACGATTTACACAATGATATGCCTATCTATCAATGTATCGAATAAATGTATGTATGTTGAATGTTTTAAAACATGTTTCCCATTATTTGTATAATCGACCAAAGTACAAAATTAGCAACTTTCAGATACACAAAAATTACCCTCATCCATTCAGTAAATACCATACTACTTTAACTACTGTCTTTAATGCAAAAGTCAGACATTGTAACCAGTATATCTACTAAAAAACATATCTAAAATACTAAGTGATTAGTTTGAATTTTATTGGGATTAATAAAATATATTGAACCAAACAGTATATGCAACCGATAAATCTTTAATGGTATAAAACATATGTAGGAAATTCTACCATGAACCAACAATAATTATAATAACTCCTTGTAAATTGATTGACAGCTTCGTGCTAATATTTTACAACAGATATTAAACAATTATCACTAGTAAATACATAATACTTATTAGACGTACTTTAAACTATAGGATGAAAATATTTCCTTTGCTTTCATCGCTTGATCAGATACTTCTCTATAGAAATTTATTTCAGCTAAAATGATACAGAGTTCAATCAAAAATTAACATAAAGTAATTGATAAAACAAAAGAAAAAAATGAAATGAAATGAAGAGTACATGTGGAGAAAAAAAAAGAAAATCATATCCCTCTTATCAATATAATGTAAACTCATCATTACTAAAAATTTATGACTATTCTCACTAGGAATAAAATGTGAAACACAAATAATACCAGTAAACAAAGTTAAAATTGTGAGATATTACAAACACTAATTAATAATGTTCAGAAGGACTGCAATATTACAACTCTCAGTAAGTAAAGATAAAAAATTGGCAAAATTAGATACAAACATTATATACTACGGCAAAGTATAAGTAATTCCAATGAATAGGCTACTCTGTCAAATTATACTTGCTTTCGACACGTGTTGTTCAGTGCAATTACATTGTTATTACCCTATCAATATTTTTTGTTTATATGAGTGCTTCCAGGTTTTCCATGGTGGTCTAGCTTCAAATGACTCATGATCTCAACTGTTGAAATCATATGAGAAACGTTGAACGGTTTCTGAATAATCACCAACATAAGAGCCTAGACTGTATGAAGGTTTCTGAATAAAGAATACATGGGAACAAAATAAAATAAATAATCATAAACTATAGAGTATATCATTGAATGATGAATAATCGAAAGAAGCGAGTGAAGATAGCAGCGACTACATCATCTATCTATCTCTGTTACCACAAAAAACGTATATCTTCAATGGAAAGTTATTAACAGAAAGGAAAGTACAGGCTAGTACACCATTAGAAAACACATTGATTGAGACAAATTGAGAAATACGTTTGGTTTTTCAAACCTGATATTAATTCTTTTTCTCTTCTAAACAAATCAATTATTCATCAAATTACTTTATTATACCTTATTACTGTTAACATTATGCTTCTGTTAATTTACTTACAACCAGTGTATCAATGGAAGACATTTTGATCCCAATACAAAGTTGTTAAACTACTCCTCTTTACTTGGTATATTAATATTTGCAATCTCGATAGTTTATAGATATTTTGCTTTTCATTCTACAAAATGATGCATAGACTAAATAGGGATTAAATGAATTTCTTTACAGAATGAGTTCTAAACAGGAATATAAATTAATGAGTGTAGTCAGTTCTTTACAATATTCGATTTTGTCTACTGTAGTTTATCAAAAATTAACAAATAGAAATTCATTATATCTCACTCTTCAACATATTTGCTACACACACATAAATCTAAAATGGTGCATTATACAATAAAGTGTAGGTTAATAATAAATTATATATGTAGGCTGTTCAGTTTATTATGGTCGTCCATTTTGTTCATTATATTCTGTCAAAATGTTTCTTTATAACTTTCTTTCTTTCCCAAGGTAACAAACTACTGTTGAATTGCATGTGACACATAGGAAATAAGAATTTTTACCACTTCATCGTTTTTCATGTAGTGATTTATAAAATATACATTTTTCATACAGAAATTCGAAATAATAAAAAATCTAAGGAAACTGTTCAATAGTATTTGTGTCATAAGCATAAAGGCATGAGCTTAAATGTGATCATATTAGATAAACAGAAAAACAAAACCCTCAGTCGACAATTTCAAAATATTTACTTAAATTTTAGAGCAAATAAAAACACAAACATGTGATATCAATGCGATAATTATGTTGTAACGCAGAAATAATTCACAGTCGTTCTTATACGACAAGGTGATAACAAACAAATGTACATTGATAAAGAGTACATTAAGACCTTTTAACTTGGTGAAATAAGAAATTTTGACCAGATGAAAGACTAGATATCCAAGCTCTACCAAAGGCTATGAAATGTTTCGATGAAACTTTGACAGGTAACATTACTTATCTAAATTAACTTATGATATAAGAAGACTAATTAGTACGCCACGAATCATAAAAAGTACTTCATAGAAAAAGTATTATTTTTCCACATTGATTCCCAGAAAACATTCTTATGTAGATATCCATTAAATAGAATGAAGGTTACTAGTTAACAACAACTGAACTCTGATGTTAATTATAGAATGTCGCAATTTCTAATTCCAATCCGTTTCGGGTGTAAGACAACCATCCACCCAGACAAGAGATGAAGGGTTTCGGAACATAGTGGAACGATTGAAGTTGGACATTAGCATCGTTGGATATCGACTCAATGGTCTGGAGGTTAAGCGTTCGAGCGCGAAATCGAAGGTTTTTGTTTTCAGTCCCACGTGCAGGATCGTGATGTGCACGGCTGAGGAGTTTCGCACTAGGACAAAAATTTCGTTCAGTGGTCCCATGTTTCTGATAGTGGTTCAGCTTAAATCGGCTAGTGAATCCAACTGCGAAAGTTCTTAAGTAGTCAGAACTTGATTAAAAAATCAAATATAATAGCATTGATCCCACGTTATTATTTCTTACTAATTTCATTAAAAATTTCACATCATGGTCTTCCACTAAACATTTGACCGAATTTGTAATTGCACTATAATTCCTCTTATCCTATCTGACCCACATTTATTCTGATCATGAATCTTAAAATTTTACTCAACATATAAGCTGATTCCGTATAAGTCATTTCAACATTAACAATCCTAAATTCCCATGTTATAAACTTTAAACGATGTACTTTGTCATAAACCTGGCCACTTTACGGATTATTAGTTTGAATATATAATTGTAGAACCTGAAAAAAATTTGAAAAGAATATTCTTCGTTCATATATTAGTCTTTTAATATGATGGGGATTTTCAAACAAGTAAAAATAACTTTCTAGTCCTCTGATATTTCCAATGATTATATCAAATATTGGTGGACAGTTACTATGAAATTTCTACAGGCACGTTAGAACATCGTTTATATTACTGGAGTACACTAAGGTGGAGTATTTCAGTATGTCACAGTGAACATTAGTGTTAACAACAGACATCAGTTTAAAAGTAAATGTCGAGTAATCCCAACAGCACGCAGCCCTTTCATGTAATAAGTCAGACGAAAAGCTTTCTTTGTTAGTAATAAAACATGAGAAAACCAAGAGTGATCAGGAGAAAAACTTACACCAAGATAAATGACTTTTGACAGTTTTTATCAAAGAATCTCCAATCATACAAGCTTTATGGGATTATCGCATTTGACCAACTCAATGTGCATTTACCAATTTACCTGCTCATGTGGAGCTAGGTATATAGGTCATTCGATGCGTACTTTATCCAAAAGAATTGAAAAACATTACCCAGCGTGGCTAAAAAGAGGAGGAAACGGTTCAGTAAGAAGTTCAATAATTGAACACCTTGTGAACACAGGTCACTCAGTCAAGACGGACTCTACGTTCAAATTCATCTACAATGTAAGTAGAAGTTTTTCAAAGGCAGTCATATTGCATCTTCTTTCAATTGCCGAAACAACAGCCATAAATCTGGAAAAATCAGAATTGTGTGTGCAAAAGAGATTGGTACAACGTCTTCTACCATGGTCTTAATGTCCAATATTTTTTTCTTCTTCCTTTACAGTCATCTGCTTCACCTTCCATCTTCCCCTTGAAACTTTTTACCCCCAACTGGTTTATTTATTTCTACGATCCTCCTGATTACATTTAATCTCAATTTCATTATTTTATCCTATCATACTGAGCCATTCTTTTGCAATGATAATTTCCTTATCTATCTTTTGATGAATACTTAAGCCATTAACTATCAAACGCTTATTAAGTTCTAAAAAAAATTTGATACCTTTGTTTATTTTGCCTCACTGTCACCATGTCTAAGAGAAGTTTATTATCAGTATTATTATAGTTATTATCATCCTGAAAAATAAGTATATATATTTGCGATTGTACAGCTTTGAAAATAAATTCGCAGAAAAGAGAACTCTAAGCTGAACTAATCCTCCTTATTATGCGATTCTAACAACGTTTAGGTACTATTCATGTCTCAGGCTAAAGTTAACAGTTTGACATTTAAACAGGTTAAATGGGAGACCGTTAACAACAAACCATTCAAAAAGAAACAAAAACTCATTCATTTCACGGAGATATAGAGAGGTAAAAATCGGCATGCGTACAGTGAGATCGTTTGCATATTTAATAAGTGTTTTCTGTGGAAGATGGAACAAGTGAAATTTTCACGAGTGCGATTACTAAACATTTAGTGGATAGTGGGCGCAACTCGGACGTTTCGGAAGCATTTAAAGTAATTAACGGGCAACGTACACCACTTTTACTGTTTTGCAGAGGCCACTGCCATCGAACGCTTTCGACCACATCCTTGCATATAGAAAGGAAGTGTGGTGCACCTATCAGTGCCATGATATTATAATTGTATTATTCTAACGGTTGTCAGTTACGTTATCTCGTTAATATGGTTTATAACTTAAAGTAAAAAATCCCATTGACAATCATGCAAGACGTTAGCTTTAATTTTACGTTAAAAAGACGCCTTGATTATCACTCATTTGTTAAGAATTTGTCCCTTTATTACCACTTACAACTTTATCCTGTTTTCCGTTTTTTTATGATTTCATCTTCAACACATAAATATTGATCAATCCTAACTATTAAGGTACGTTGTTCCAGCCATTTAAGGTTGGTCAGGTCATATCTGGTGAAGTAGATGTGGCTTTTCTGGAATTGGATTTCGTGTTTTCAAGCCTCGTAAACCCGCTGGGTAGATGTGAATGCGCGGGAGAATTGTCACTCCCAGGTCTTGGCGCGCGAGCATCGCACCAGAGGGCAAGTATGGTCTATATGCATACCAGCTATACATAAACCTTCACTCGTGCATTCCTTGGCATACACATTGGTATATTTACCCTGTGAGCAAATAGATGTTACATGCACACCGATAACATAAGTTTCACTTATGCATCACACAGAATAACATGAATGTAAATTCACCTACCTGAGAGGGTAGATGGTCACCGCTCCCCTTCGGACATTTTTCATACAACTAACTATCTTACGCATTACATGCATACCACTAGTACAAAGACTTTGTTTAT